CTCTCTCTTTCTCTCTCTCTCATTCTCTCTCTCTTTCTCTCTCTTTTTCTCTCCTCTCTCTCTCCTCTCTGTCTCTTTCTCTCTCCTCTCTCTCCTCTCTCTCTCTCTTTCTCTCTCTCTCTTTCTCTCTCTCTCATGTATGTGTGTTTTGTTTGTCTTCTTCAGCCAGTCTACTGGCCTGTGGGACCCGCCAAGCCTACAGTCAAATCTCCATAGACCCAGAATCACTCTTAGGAATCAAGGGATTTCGGACAGTCCTGGTCCTCCAGAATGTCACCCAGGATGTTCAAGAATACAGCTGGCACCGAGGCGCAAATGACACTGCGGAAAATATGATTGTCAGCTACAAACCTCCCTCCGATACCTGGCAGTCTGGGCCCATGTTCAGTGGACGGGAGAACGTGACCAGGACAGGTAGCCTGGTGATCAGGAGGTCTGCATTAAATGACACAGGGAATTATACCGCGAGGGTGGACCTTGGCAACAGGACCGAGAAAGCAACAGGCTGCCTCAGTATTCAAGGTGAGTTGGCAGGTGGTGAGGTTCCTTGAAGATCATAGTGTCCAAGTGTCTCCACCCCTAGGTGACACTGGAAGGCTTGGCAGATGGTAGCCTAGCTTCTCCTGCAGAGATGGGTCACTCATTCCCGTCAAGGGTCCTGTTTCATGGTCAGGGTGTCAGTTATCTACTGCTGTGTAACAAACAGCAGCTTCAAACAGCATCCATTCATTATCATGCTCTCCTGTGGGTCAGAAGTCCAGGCGAGCGCTGCGCTCTGAGACGCACAAGGTGTTGACGCGGGGCTGTGTTCTCATGTATGGCTCTGTCCACTGGCATTTCGCATCATGGCTGTTTGCTTCTTCAGGGTCAGCCGAATTCTCTCCCCATGGTCTGCTAAGCAGGAGTCTTAAATAACAAAAGGTAATGTTCAGACTGACAGCCCATCACTTTTGCTTTATTACCTAGGTTAGAAGAAAGTCACAGGTTTCACCCAAATCTGAAGAAAGGGGATTATACAGGCTGGAGATCATGGGGCCATCTTGGAATTTTGTCTACCACAGACAGTTCCTGGGGGCACCACAGGGCTGGAGGGGAGAGTGTGGATTTGAAGACAGGAAGTCCTGTGTTTATCTCTGACTGTGTATATGTTGCATGGCCCTGAGCCTTTGTCTTCCCTCTGCAGTGTCCTCAGTTTCCTCATCTGTAGAATGGGGCTAGTATCTACCATTGTCTGTTGTAAAATTAAATGGAATATTTGTCAGGTGAATGGGACTCAGATAATGGGAAAAGTTATTATGGAGAGTCCAAATGCTAGCTGTCACTCTGAATTCTACCCATGGCTCCTCAGATGGGGGTGTTCTGGTTTTAGGGTCAGAGTTCAGAAACAACCATTAGGTCACATGCCCATGCCAAGAACCCACCATTATTGCAGTGGATGCCACAGGGATGGCTCAGTGCATAGGACAGTGGGCTCAGGCTAGTGCCCACACGTCAACCACTCATGCCTACACCTTACTTCTCTGTCCCTCTCAGTTCCAGGGCTGCTCTCCTGCCAAGACCCCAGGTACCACCTTACAACTTATGGCTTCTCCCCAAACCTAAAATTCCCCTTGGAGAGAAGCAGAGCTTGGGGAGGCAGACCCCACCCTTAATGTCTCCTTTCTGCTTCCCCCAGAGTTGGAAAAGAAGCCGGACATCTGGGCTAACGCCAGCTCTGTGGTAGAATATATGGATCCTGTGGCCGCCATTTGCTACACCAATGCCACCAATGTCAACTGGTATGTGGAGTACACACGGGTATCCAGCAATGACCGGATGACAGTCTCCCCGGACCTCAAGACCCTCATCATCCACAGGGTCAGCCGCTATGACAGAACACTTCAGTGTGAAACAGAAAGCATTCCAGAGTTTCCTCGGAGAAGTGAACCTCTCTCTCTCTCCGTGGACTGTGAGTGGTCTGGGGTCACAGGAGTGATGCCAGGGGTAGGCCCAGGGCCTCCCAGAGATGTAGCAATGAAACAGAACTGAAAAGCGGAAGCACCATAAGCCAGCCTGTAGCCAGCTGGATCTGGGTTTGAATCTCAGCTCTTTGGACTCAGAATCACCCTCACTGTACAGAAGGACCTGCTATTCAAGATGGGAACCCAATCCCCACTCCCCAGATTAGAAATAGTGTGACTTTGTTCAGATCTGGCTTTTGTAAAGAGGGGCCTGATTACAACTAATAGTTTCTTT